AATTATATCAGCATTGTTGTTTAGTGACAGAATTTAATCCAATATCATAAAGAACTTTGACAGCTAATAAAGAAAGCAAGCCAAAAATAAATCATACCCAACCACATCACATCCTTTATGAGTGATGTACTTAGAAATGTTAAATCCTTCTGTGATCTTGTTCTCCTTATGTATTTTTGTACAAAACTAAAATCATAGTAACATTTATTGTGTTTAGAGCTAAAAACATGTAAAGAACAGTTGTGATAGAATTTTATACACTAACTGCCTTTTCTGTCAAATTATTTAACTGATTCATATCTAGTGTTGATTATATCTATTTGAACATCAGTATGTTGGTTGCCATCCATTTCCATTTCTCTCACATATCAAAGACACTAAATTCAATTTGTGTACATATTTCCAATTTTTGTTGATAATTAATGTTTTCTGTAGGCTCAAAATCGAGATTATGTCCACTTGCATCTACTCAGTGCTATTTTAAGCAAATTGTGATGAGTCAAATGTGACAGTTTACAGGGGCTTTTAGAAAACATTATTTATAAAACTGTTTCCTTTAACTTTGAAGATACACAGTAATTCTTTTTAAGCATGGAACACATATAAATCAGTGCACTATTTCTATTTAGATTAATTGCATATGTTTTTATGTCAAAACTCACTGATATTTATCATACAGCCTACTTGTGCCATTCTTTTGAAGCTCTTGTGTATAGTTTAAGATTGCTGCAAAACTATTTTTCTATCTTTTTTTAGTGATTGAAAATCATACTGATATTCTCTTTTTTTGACATTTTTTCAGCTAACAAACTGAGTTGAACTGTCTGTTCAATTATAGGCTGCAGATGTGATGAACCTTTCCATTTGAACTTCCCCAAGCTACAGTTCTGACCTCATCTTTTCAAGTGAATCCAAAATTGCACAGGTTTTGGCAACACAGATTTATTGTTAGTGTTAAAGCATCAGTTATATTAACTGTGGTTTAGGTATGTTCAGCTGGCTAATCATATTAATTTTTTTTTGTAAATTAATTATCTGCAATTTTTAAAAATTGTTTTTGTGTACTCTAACTGTGGTGTATTCATGAAATAATAGTCATTGTCTAATATCTGCATGTGAATGTTAATATGATTCCAGCTCAGACTTTTTGGCAAATCAGTGTGTTACTGTGCCAAAGTAGAATCACTATATGAGATGCATGGATTATAGCTCAGCTGTCTGTGGTATTTCTCCGCCTACTCAGTGATCTTAGAGAATCGTTTGCCTTCTTTGTGTGACTGGGAACTTCATCGAAATGCTGTTGCCTTTATTCATAGTGCAGGAGCTAAAATTTCCTCAGAAGCTTTTGAAGTGTTTTAGTTCCAGTAGTGGTCATAGTGTTGATGGATCTATTCTTTTTTCCTGCACTCTGTCATGGCAAAATATGGTGCAAAATAATCTTTTCTGTGTTTCATGTGGCTGTGTAGAGTGTTGCCTTAAGAGACAGCAGAAAACAAGACTCCGAGCCAACTTAGTGTATAAGATAAGATAAAGTGGGTGGGTCCTTTAATTCCAGGCCTGAGGCCCACAGGAATACACATGATATGCCTCTTGCATCCAGGGGGTTCCACAATTTAAGGTGTTAACCCATCCAATCCCAGGTTTATCCACCCTCCAGCACCTCCCCCTGGCACGCTCCTCTGGAAATTGCAGCAAGGGGCTCTGGGACACCCTCTTCCTCATCCTCCTCATCACAGCACATCCAGTCCTTGGAGCTTCTCCAAAGATCTGGGCTTGAAGGTTGCTGTGCCTGGGTGGTATCTTGTTGTCCAGGCCAGGGTGCAGATGTTCTTAAATGGAATGAAGGCCTACCTTGAGGGAAGTCTAAACAAGCTAACAGAATTTTGAGGGAATGATGTGGAATGGGGTAACAGTGTTAGGAAAATGTGTAAACTACTGTGCTAAAGGGTGAGGGATATAATACAGCTACTTTAAAATCTATGAAAAGCTAAAAATCCAAAAATCCATAGGCATCGAGAGAGAGAGGCACACTGTGGTTTATCCCTTAGGACAGCACTCTGGGTACATGTACTGCATGTCAGGAAGGCAAGGCAATTGTCTTCATGCAATTCTATCATGCAATTGTTTCCTGGATATGGACAGAGAAAGAAAGGGAATCAAACAAAAGATTTCTGAAAGGAGAGACTCAAAGAGCATATAAAGGAAGAAGAATGCCCATGATTTTCTTTTAAACATGGAAGTGCTTCTGGGTCTTTAGTGAATAGTACAGAAACATAGAGATGTCAACATTAACTGTGGTTTGTGAATGTGGTATTTGATGGAGGGTGTACTTTACAGTACATTTTTAAGAAGCTCAGAGAAATAGCAGTTAACCCCATAATGCTGAACCTTTTATCAATTGTTAGTAATTTCTCCCATATATGTGTTTTTTAAATATATTATTGTCTATTTCCTTGTGTTCCCTCCTTCTGCATCATCTTCCTAACTCCTATATGCTTTTCCTGTTCATACAATCTTTTCTCAAGGAATTTACTACTAGTCATTGTCAGGAGAACATGCTAACCTATATTACCCTTGCCCCAATCTCATATTTCCATTTTTGTGTTCTTATATTACCTGCAGTTGCAATTACTGTCTATTCTGCCACATCCTCAGTGTGGGTATCTGCAAATGCCAACATGCAAAAAACCCTAACAGATTCCAGCTGGGTTTTCAAGGAGAGCTCCAACCAAGCACACGCACCTTTTTTTAATTATAAGTGAATAGTTCTATATGTATTTCATAACAATTCTCTTGTATCATTGAAAAAACTGAAAGGTGCAATTTTTTTTTAAACAGTAAGGAATAAAATTATAGTGCATTGTAGTTAAAAGAACAGAACTTCCAGCTATTCCTTGAAAGCTCCAGAGGCCATCTAAGGAAAATAGTACCAAGGAGAATTCCAGCATTCAAAACTTCAGGCCATTTTTCTATTCACTGCTAGAAGTCTTTCCATTTGTTGATTTCCAGATGCTTAATCAGATCTACTCTTGCATGGAGCTTTGGAGCTGATACTGATTTCACAAGCCCACATGGAAACTTTTATTTGCAGGGTAGTTGTTGAACAATGTTCCTTGTTGATATGTCCCTCCCTCACAGATTTCATGCTTAATAGTGTCACCAAATATCTTGTGCTGTTAGATACAGGCAGGATGTTCAGCTCATTATCCCCCTTGAACCTTCAGCAGATGCAGCACTTTCTGGTGCCAGTGTCTGGGAACCCTGAATGATCACACCCCTCCCCTGACTCTGGCTTCTACGGAACGATTGTCCTATTTGTCACTGTGTACCACAGGTTTTAGCCTTGGTCCCAAGAGGGTCATTCATGATCTGTTTGGGGATTAGGGCCTTTGAACAACAGCAATTAGGCCACTGCTTTTGGTCCTCTGTCTTACTCCACTGCTTTTCCAGTTGGTACCTTTTGCTGACCACAGAGATCACAGGTCTCTCACACAGATTTTATCCTGTATTCCTCTCCTACATTGCCTTTTTTACCCAGACTTTAGCCTAGCTTAAGATAGTATTTTTTTTCCTAATACTGACTCTTTGCAGAAATTAACTTATTATGGTTTATAAATTCTTTCCTACTCAGCTTTTCTCCATTGACTGCGCTGCCAATAACAGATGTTCTGCTGTGGTTTCATTGTCTGTCCTTTTCAATCAATCCCAGTACTTCTCTACTGAGATAATCCTTCAGAATCTGAGAGGAGGAAGACTACTTCACTTAATGCCCGCTACTGCTTGTGCCAGATTTTTTTTTTTACTTTCAGCACTTTCAAGTTTCCAGAATATACCCCATGTAGTGAATATAGCTGGCCAAATGGGATTTTCCTCTCTGTTCCATCTTTTCAGGATTAACCTTTAATAGTTGAGATAATACTTAAGATATTTCCAGGAACAGGGATGAGTCAGATACTGTTGTATTTTTGCTATAAAGTTTTTGAAAGATGTTGTGGAAGAAATGGCTAAATTATTCAGTTTTATCAGTAAAGCACCATTAAATATATTCTTAATCTGAATAAAGGGGGACATGAAGGAATGCAGTTAATAATAGGATGCGTTTGCTTTGAGATTCTTTGGAATTCCTACCACCCATAATAACTCCTGAATTTTTCCTTTATGTTGTTCTTTTATTTTATGTTAGCACAAAAGCACTGAGTACTTTGTATTGCACTTGAAAAACAAAATGTGTGACCTTTTGGGCTTGTGGTAAAAGCACCAGAGGAATGCACAAGCACTGCAATTGTCTGCACATCTTTAAAGGAGCAAATTTTCTCCCTGGAGTTTTCCAGAACTTCTTCCAAGGTAAATTTAAAGCCAAGAGAAATTTAAAGTTTTGGCCCTGAATATCTACCCTGCACTTATGCATTTCTTACTGTCCTAAGTATATTATGTAGGAAGGAATTTTATCTTCAGAGATATCATCTACCTAGCTGAGACGTTTGTACAGCTCCATTATTGTAGTATTAGAGTAACCACAGGTTTTAATGTGTATTCACATAGACAGTTGTGTGATAAGGAGGTGCTGAAACGTGCATTTTACAAATGAGCTGAGGAAAGGGTGAACTTTGAGAATGTCCTCACTTCTAGTGAGCTCTCAAAAGCATACTTACGTTCAGTTTGGATGGGCACGGGAGTGTTGGATGCAGACCATAGCATCCTTCACATGATCCTTGTCACCTGGAAGTGATGTCGTGTAATCTGTGTCAAACTGATATGACAACCTAAAATTCTTCCTAGAAAGATTTCAGCTCTGCCTACCTCAAAAACCAAACAAGGCACTTATGAACATGTGGAACTGGAGTTTGGGAACCAACCATGCCTTGGCTACTCATGGCTTTAAGGCAACTCAGGTGCAGAAGAGGCTGAGTTATTCACTCAAGACTGAGCAGGAACACTAGTAAATCAGCAAGTAGAACCCACATTCTGTGTTTGAATCTTAATCAGTATAACAACTGCCATTCCTGTTTTTCTAGAATTGTATTTAAGGTTAGTCTTCAGTTTGGTTTTTTTGGTATACAATGAAACAAGAGGAAGTCAATACAAAAATCTTAGAAATGCTTTCTGGGAATATTTCAGGAAACTGATAGATACAAAGAACTGTCAATACATTAGAGAAAAAGGTGTCTTGGTCACAATCCTGCAGCTATTTCTGTGTGAACACATAAGATGTGTTCATACATAGGATAGCTCCTCCCCATCACATTATGTACATTTTTGTCTATCGATTTCTGCTGCATAGTTTCAAATATTTACCAAAAATGTTTCACAAGAGTGTCCAGAACAAATCGTCAGAAACAATTACTGGATTAAGGATGCTGGATAACTAATGCCATTCTGTAGTTATTATCTGCAATACACAAAAAACTTTGAAGGCAGATAGTCTTACAAACAATCAGTATAATTAGCAAAAAATGTAAACAGCATGTTTTTCTTTTTCAGAGTATCAGATATTTAAATGTACTAAAAAAAAAGAGTTCCCTTATTAGCCTATCACAGTGACAATTACACCATGCTTCTTTACTGTTTGAACTGTTTGCTCTTTGTGTCGCTCCCATTCTTCATCATCTTTGTCCAGATCAAAAGTTTCTGGATAAATGGGAAGCTTGTCTTTTGGGCACTCCTCATAATAACTTCGAACATATTTTCCAACAGACCATCCTTTATATTCCTCAGGCATTTTGCATTCTAGGCCATTGTAGTGAACATTGTAGTGATGCTTCAGCCAGTAAAAAAGATAATGAATGTTGTAATCACATCTCCAAGGATTCTCTCTCAGCCACAGTACTTTCAGAAAGTAAAGATCTTCCAGTACTCCATATTCAAAATTCTGCAAGCTGTTGTTTGATAGATCCAGCTCCTCTAAGTTGTTGAGGCCTGAGAAAGCAGCTAGTCAATAGAAAAATAGTTATTGGTACCTTATGAAGATAGCTTAGAAAAAAACATGCATATCTCTGATGGGAAAAACATGCATTATCTACTACAGGAAAACATTTTCATAATTACCCAGTTATTACTTTTTTTTGGCCTCTAGATTTTAAAATCTGTTTCCCCCCATGTTTATATCTGATAGAGACATGATCAAAGTTTATAATTAATAAAATAGAAATCACTTTTTAATGAATATTTAAAATTATTCTTACCAGGATCAATGTAAGCTATTCCATTGCTGTTTAGGTTTAATATCTTCAGTTCACTGGCATCTTCAAACTCTTTGGCTCGTAGTTGTCTTATTTTGTTGTTGGACAAATCAAGTTTAGCTATATCTGGAGGTATGTTACCTGGAACTTTCTTTAAATCTTAGAAAATGAAAAAGACATAGCTTTTATCAGCTTTAGATTATTCTTACTGCATAGTTATCACAGTTGCATGCCAGACAGAGTTTTGTCAGTCGAGCATTGTTTTGTGTTTTCTTTCCCTTTTATTCCCTCTACTAGTGTCACCAGATTTTTTTCAACTTCTAAATTTAATTTTTGTTTACATGTGGAAATTGTTCTCTTATAGTGAAGGCAAGGTAAAGGCTCTTTCTGTGTTTTATATCTTTATTTTAGTAGAACTAGACCATTCACATAGGGATAGAGTAGATACTGACGATACTATACTAACAAAAATTGTGTGTGAAGGGTTTGCTCATTTAAAGAAAAGAAACCAGAGTAACGATATAAAAATCCATCCAGGCAGCATAGTGGCATTCTGTCTACTTCTCTATCCTAATTGTATCATTTGTAGCCAAAGTAGCCGTGGACCTCTTAGTCATCTGTGTTCATATCCTTACAGTGTTCCTTGCAAAAGAGTTCCAGAAGAATAGCTCCTAGTCCAGTAGTCAGGGCACATGCTTGAGAAGTGCAGACTGTGGTTTGAATCCTCTCAGGGTAATGTTAATAAACCAAATCTCTAGGATTATATTTACTCAATGAGAGTTCTAATTCTGCACTGTCATTAGAGAAAAATGAGCAGTATCTCTTATTTCACCATCTTTGAATGAAAGCAAGTAGTTTCTGATCTGTACTGAAATTTGTGTGGTTGCAGTACTTCTGAAGTTCTGGAGATGTCTGATGAATCAGGTAATTTTGAGACTAAAGCAACATATCAGAGTCTTCCTTTCTTTTATCTGATTATAAGCAGAGCTTTGGTATTATAAATACATAAATATTATAATTACTCCAGCCTGCTGTGGTTGGATGACTTCCTGCTTGTGCAGATGTCAAAGTTTCAGGGCCTATTTGTCACCAAATGAAGGCAAATAATGCTTAAATTTAGAGACTTGGAGGACTTGGCAGTACTAGAAAGCAGAGTTTTTTCAACTGTTCTTGTAAATACAAATTCTTTGCAGAAAAGCAAACAGAAATTGCTTTTGCTTCCAAATGTTTTTATTTCTTTTTATTTGTAAAACAGAATCAAGGGCATAGGGTATTTCATTCTGGAGTACTGAAAGGTCTGGCATATCACTGATGTGATGAGATATAAGCAAATAATTCAAAAAAGAGAACATACACATGGTTAAATGTATTTTTAAGATGATTCTTTCATAAGCTTTCTGTCATAAACTGAAAGCTCCTGACCTGTTGTCATACCACTTTAGAGATATTCATACTCTGGTACACTGCTTGTCTTTGCATCCACTCCGTAGTAAAACAATAATGGATTGCAGCTTTTCATGTCATCTTACTGGTTTGGCAACGGATGCACCATTTTTTCTACTCTGAAATCTTGTCCATGCAGATTTAGAGAAATTTTTGTGTTTTCCTGGGATTTTGTGTGCATTATACTCCAATTTCTGATGAAAATGCCAATGAAATTGTGCATCTGCTGTACAGTAATCATATACAAAGACAGTAAGTACAATGCTTTCATCAAAGATTACCATATGTTCAGAAATGCCAAATATCCATGGGATATCTGCATCCAGCTGTTAAACATATGCACAGTAGATCTGGTACTTCCTAAAAAATATTGGAACATACTCACTGTGTCCATGCTAAACATTCAGGAAATTCTGGACTGATATATTTAGTTCTTGACCTGAAGGAGGGAGTCCCTGTACCCTCTAGTACACTCATGTAGAGTCTGAAGTAATTTTATTTCTCCATTATTAGGACCAAAGACAATAAACCATTTTTTAAATACCCTAAACCCCTGTGAAACTCCCACAAAGATCAGACTACATCAAATGTTTCTATGAACTTAGAGAAAAAATAATAATATTTTTTGTGCCAAAAGTTTTTGAGTATATTCATATATTCAGCTCATCTCTTTGATACCACTAAATGGGGAGAGCTGTAAAGTCAATCTTTTCTTATATTAAGATTATAATATATGCCTGGTTTTTGTTCAATGGCACAGTTTACTGAAGACATAAAGTAATAATGATATAATTAAGATCCTATGAAGGATAATTAAGACCATACTCTTTAATCTAATAATTAAGATCCTACCTACAAAGAAATATAAGGTAGGTGAACATTAAAAAATTATTAAATGTTAGCCAGTAAAGCAGGAAAATCATTAACAAAAAAGATGTAGCAGCTGCATGGTAAAACAAAGAGGAAAGTGAGCCATAGGGAGAAGAAAGGAATTCAACAGCACGGAAAAAAGAAAAAACCATGGACCATTTTTAACGGTAGTCAAATACTGAAATTGTGAATTCCTGATTATCTCCTCCAGCTTGTTCCTGGCATTAAGGTGCAAGAGTAAGGGCACACTGAGGTTTTTACATGAAATTAAGTCACTCTTAAAGCAAATCGAAGTTTAATTGTTCAAAACATACTGCGGTGATCTGGTATTGCAGGGTAAGCTTTGAAAAAGTTGGGAAAATATCCTCACAATGCTGGCTGCTTCCAGTAATGCTTCTTATTTCAGAATTGTTATGTTAAAGAATGATTCTCTTCTGAATTGTTTTGTTGTTTGCTTTGTTTCATCATGGGATAAAATATGGGAAATATAAAGCACAGATAAATGTGCACTTTTGTGTTGATATATATCCCATCTGGTTTACTCTTAAGGCTTAACTGTGGCTTTTAGGAGCCTGAGAAGGATTTAGGAATGGAATGGATCCAAGTGTCTGAAAAACATTTCTTGAAGGCCCTTCAACTTTGCATTGTTTGCTGCGTGTTGGGAAGAAGAACACAGGGGAGGTATTTCTTTGTGAACACAAGCACACAATTTCTTCACTTAGTAGAAGAAATCTTGCACAGCAAATGTGAGGATGCAATGGCTTTCCCTTGCAATCAGGTTCCTTTGGGCATTGCAAGCACAGCTGGCTGCCCCAGCCCTGCTTCACAGTTCACTTCTGTCGAAGTTATTGCTATTTTTGTGCTTGTACACTGGAAAGAAGAAAAGACTCCCTGTGCTTTTCTCTATCAGTTCAGCAGTTTCAGCACAGCTTTAATTTGTCTGATGAGTATGTTTATAGCTGTAAATCAGACTACTAAGGTGCTAGTCCTTCAGTAACTTAAGCAATATTCTTAGGTTTATTCTGGTTGCTTTTTGTTAGCTATCTTATACTAGAGCACTAAGGAATATCTGTGGAATTGGGGCTGCAGAGCGGAGATAAAATGCAGAAAGAATTCCTACTAATTGGTACTAATTATGAGAGAAAAACAATTGAAAGTATCAATTTAAGTAAAGCGAGTACTAGTACTATATTCATTTGCAGTACATAGTATGTAAATAAATGTAGTAAGGGAACAAGAATATTAAAATCATTAATTCAGTTATAATGATAGATACAAACCTTTTCTTTTGCAGTTCAGAGTTGGTACAGGAAACACATACATGTGGCACAAAGAGGAATCAAATTCTGGTTTGACAGGTTCGGGCTTCTCCCGTTTTATGTTTCTGGGGTCCTGCCTGTCCTCTTCACTACATAGCTGATCAGCTTTTATCTCCTTTAGCTTTTGATTTTTCAGTTCTATTGGATGCAAACACTTGGCATAATTTCCCAAATTTCTGTTTGTTGGAACCTGTAGCATTGTAACAAGGGTTTCTAGTTCACAGTTGCAATGCCAGGGATTATCATAAAGGCGTAGGTAGTTTAGACTGGGTGTATAAATAAAAATCTCTTCAGATAAACTCTTAATTTGGTTATGCTGAAGTAAAAGTGTGGTAAGTTTATTCAAACCAAAAAAAGCCTCGCTCTCAATTTTTGATATATCATTCTGTTGTAAATCTAGACTTTTCAGTGCTTTATACTTGGAAAACATATTATTCTTCAATTTGCGAATCCTGTTTCTTGCTAGCAGCATGTGTTTTATATCCTCTGGCCAATCAGGTCCCACAAAAATCAATTTTCTCTCCTGACAATCTAAGTATTTCTCATGAAGGTGAGTGTAAATATCACATGTTAGACCTTGGGCATTGCGCTTAACAGTGCTAGATGCTCTCCTTAAGATGTTTTCCCTTTCATTGTTTTTCAAACTCCTGTTCCTTGTCCTTCTACAGTCAGATGCCTTACAAAGAAAAAGTAGTACTACAATAGTAATTAGTTGCATCCTGACATTCAGCTGGCCCCAGTTATTTTCTGTGACAGCTGGAACAGTTGAAATTTTTGAATAGTCTGAATCAGTGTTGTACAGATCTGAGGAGGCACAGCTGGGGTATGTGGGATCCCTGTGTTGGAAGAAAAGTAAAACATTAGAACAGATGAAATGGGCATTTTCATGGAGGCTTGTACATAATATGCAGCATTCAGTCAAGTACTCAATCATCACATTACTCAGAGCTTCACAAATACTTTGAAGATTTAATGTCCTATCTTTGTTAGTTAGTTTGTTTCTTTGTTTTTGCTGTCTCTGGTCTACTAGGTCTAATTGATAAAACATGGGAAACTATATGGACCAATTTCTAAATTATCTTTGTCAGGAGGTTCTCATGTATTCAGGAAAACGGCATCAGGTTGGATCTTCTTTACATTTAAGTTAATCTTGGAAGTTGGGTTTGAAAGAGGAGTTTGAAGCTGATATATTCCAACTTTCTTGGTGCTAAACAACTGGAACACATACACAGCCAGACCAGGGAAAGTCATCCAGTGACTGTCAAACTCACAGTTTTAGTCTGCACTTGAGTGTGGACTTGTTTTCAAGTCATTTTCTCAAGTCAGTTTACTCCAACTCAGTAATCTACTGTGACCATGAGTTCAGGATATTGGCCTAGATGGACTGAATGTGTATGAGGAATTCATACACTTATGTCATATGCTGAGAATTTGAGCTGTTCACCTTTAATATAATGTGGGTTTGGTTTTTTTTTTTTTGGTTTCGTGGGTTTTTTTAGGTGAATGTAGGAATTTGCAACTCTTGAATATCTCTGAATTCCAGGGGTTAAATGTAAAGGCTATAGACTTTTCCTATGAACTCTAATTTATACCAAGAGGGAAGATTTTTTCCTAGTGCTGTGGTTATTTGGGTACACAAATGTTCCTGATAAAAAATAAAGACTTGTGTTCTCAAGTACTTTGAAAATGGAATTTAGTAGGATTCAAAGATAATCAGTGAAGTTCTCTTTGGTTTTATACGGTACCAGGGAAAATCATATATTCCATTTCAATTAATTTTAATAAACAGGCTTCAAAACTTCACCAGTTTGGGAGGAGGGTTTTGTTATTATGAGCTTGGAGTTGTTCATAATGCATTTTAATACTATATTGTTTTCAGGTTCCTTTATTCCTTCCTTCAGCAGTACACTTGAGCTCTAAAGACATCTCACTAAATTTCTTGATATTTTTGGGAGCTTTTAAAAGGTGTCTAAGAATGCAATCACCATTATGTATTTGTCCATTTTTTTCCAGTTTAACATTTTCAGTTTTATCTTGCTTCCATTAATTCTCTTTAATGTTTTTTTCATTACTGTCTCTGATGGAAAAACAATATTTCACTCTGCCTTAATTAACAATTTCTTAGAAAAGACACCGATATGTGCAAATTTTTCTAGTAATAAAATCAATCTAAAGATACAATTAATATTTTGTTAAGAAATTATAGTTCTTAATAGACAGATGATGTATACATCCATTTATAGGCTATTCTAGTGTTAGGTATATAAACAAACAATTTGGTATAGTTTAGTTGTCTTTGTAGTGAAGTGTACGTGCAAGGTTCTAGCCAAGAAACATGACAGTATTTACACACAAGGTTTTAAAAATTACCACAGATGAACTACAGCTTATGTACTTGATGCAAAAATGGCTTATCATAGTCAAGTTAGAGAGGCAAGAGCTGCAGAAGAATCATGAGATTCTAATTTATAATACTCTGCTTTACATGTATCTTCTCTGTCCTATTTATTGCCAAGTGTCTTGTTCTCATAATTTTCACAGATTATGTAAAATTCTTTGCTATAGCAGCTACAAGGAATGGATAAAGAATTACTATGAAGTCCTTTGAGTAACACTGTAGAATCAGCTTGCTACATAACATAATACTTGCTATATGATGTTATAATTGCAGTGTAATATTTAGAGGTTGTGTGCCTCTCCAGGGTCATGTTGATTGTACGTTCCTGCTTTCTGTCCAGTGTCTGGACTGTACTGGACTGCGTGGGCTTATTCCATCCCAGCTGTAGGACTTAGTGTTTGCCTTTGTTGAACTGAATGAGGTTTCTGTCAGCCCATTTTTCCAGACTGAATCTCTCAGAATAGCAGTTCTAGCCTCCAGTGTATTAACAGATCCCCCAGTTTGGAATAATTTGTGAATTTGCTGAGAATGTACTCTGTTCCTACCATCCAAACCATTTATAAGGACATTTAACAGTCCTGGCCTCCATACTGACTCTTGAGGGATGCCAGTTTCCACAGGACACCAGTGGGACTTTAGCACTATTGGTGACAACCCTTTGGGCTCACAGTCAAGACAAAGTTTCACTCATCTTGAAGTCCATTTACCCAGTCTTTATTTTACCAATTTGGCTATAAAGGATACTATGGCCTGTCCTGAAGGCCTTTCTGAAGTCAAGATGCACAATAGATGCTTTTATCCCCTTATCTGTAGATCCAGTAATTCCATCGTAGAAAACTACCATCTTAGTGAGGAATTCTTTGCCCTTGGTAGATTCACACTGGCTGCTTGCTGTGACTTTTTAATCCCTCATGTTCTTGGACAGGCCTTCAAGGAGGATTTGCTGCATAACATTCCCAGGGACTCAGGTGGAGCCGACTGGCCTGTAATTTCTTGGATCTTCCATTTCCTGAAAATGGAAGACATTTCCTATCTTCCAGTCATTAGGAATCTCCTCTGATTGTCGTGAACTTTCAGAACTGAGTGAGGCCTCTCAGTGACAAGAACCAGCTTTCTCAGCTCCTGGGTGCACCCTGTCTCACTCTGTTTCCTCAGGTGCTCCCTGACATTAACTTCTTCTACCATGGGTATTGCTTCATTCCCAGAGACTCTCCTCATAGGCTCCAAGCGAGGCACCTGGGAAGCCTTCAGACAAGCCTCAGCAGTAAAAACTGAGGCAAAAAAGTAACCCCTTTTTAACGCTATCCATTATTCCACAGCCCTCCAGGGCTGTATTCCATGAGATCCTGTTAAGCAGATCCCTAAACAAGCCAAAATCTGCTATCAAGTTCAGGGTTTTTTTCTGCTATGGTTTGTCCAGTTTTCTTCTCTCAGGATTTTGAACTTCTCTTTTTCATGGTCACAGTAACAAAGCCAGTCTAGTTCTTCACGTTCCTTCACCCCTTGAAAAACGTATTTCCTAGACCACTTGTCAGTCAGCTGGATCAAGAAATTGTCTTCAACATACTGTGGAAGTGCCTGAATTTTTCATGCCCAGCCATATTGTTCTTCCAGCAGGTGTCACAGTGGTTAAAGTCTCTCATGAGTAACCAGGATAAGCAATAGTAAGGCTTCTTTCAGCTACCCAAAGGTTTCATCTGCCTTCTTTACTTAATCAAGCAATTTGTAGCAGATACCTACCACAATGTAACCCTCACAGATCTAGCCTCTAATCCTTAAAATAAGATCTTGATTGGCTTGTCATCCATTCCAAGGCAAAGCTCCATGTGTTCAGGCATAACTTTGCATAGAGTGCAACCCATCCTCACCTTTCTGGGCTGTCATTCCTAAATGTTCTGGAACCATTGTTCTGTACAATGTTCTGTACCCCTCCGCTTGTGCGTGCTACCCCTTTGCAACTCTGGAGTCCCAATGAAATCACAGCTCTGCATCTGTGTGTGGACTTTGGTCCCTGCTGGTTGATTCCTGTGCAGCAAGTGTTTGTGTTCAGACACCTGGGACAGACCCTCGGTTGTGCTGCTTTCATGTGGAAGGTTTTGGAGTTTTCCCTCATCGTGCTATTCCCCCCAGTGCTTTCTCATCACTGCCCGTGCCTTCAGTCCTCTTCAGGTTATGGTTATCTTCCATCAGCATACCTATTTTCACTGATATCTCCTCTCTCAAATCCTTCGTTACAGGAATATATTTCAAAAGCACAAACTGTCCTCTTTAGAGTTAGTTGATTGGTATTGAATTACCAGCTATCTGGATTGTCCTTTTGCCTGATAACTGAAATAGTGACAAGGTGACCACAATATGGCAAAAGGTATGCACTCAACTACTACGTTTTCATGTACAAGTGCTGACTTTTTGCCTTTCTATTATATTGACATTTACTGTGAAATGTTCTTCATACTAGGAGATTTGTTCCCATTATATAATAATGGAACGATATATAGAACACTATAGGTAGAACCTCTTCTGCAGGTCAATAAAATGTAGAAGCACTATAATTACTCAAATCTAACATTCCACCTAGAAGTTAGAACTAAACAGGAAGAATTATGTAAATTATATTACGGGTTAGAGAAATGCGCCAGAGCTCATGGATAAAATTCACCAGTGGTTTTAGATTGGCTAAGAGTAATCTTGATTTACCAAAATGTGTAAACATGTGCTAACTTTCAATCATATGAAAAGTTTTCATGCTCTATAGGTCTGTATAGTGTATGTATCCTCGAATTAAAATGATAAAATGACCATACTTCAAGTGAGTAAGAGTAGCATCAGATGTCTCTCAGTATTGCACTCTGAGGATTCCAAAGAAAATGGCTGAGATGTATAAAAATTATTATGATGATTTAAAAATATTTAATCATGGCTTTGTTCCCTTGAAACTCTGCATAAAAATGTAAGATAAATTAATACAAATACAAATATAATTTTAATATACTTCTGGATTTTTTTCATTAGTCAGGATGAATTGATGAGACACCAGAAGGCTGCAGAGCTCTTCTCTATTTAAGTCTGTTGTATAGAGATAATACTAATGGAATAGTCCTATGACTTTTGTCAAGGTAAAATTAATCAGAAATACGAAAGTGTATTTGTTTTAATCTTGTAGGAAATTTAGAGGCATATGTAACAGGAATACTCTTTTTAAGTGATTTGCAGGATTCTGTCTGCTATGAAAAATTAAAGAAATGTCCCATACATTTCACTTAGATAGCAGTTCTTTTATCTTTTTAGTATATTTAAAAATATATGGTAGAGTCCCCTATATATTGCACAGAGTTTACAAAAGTTTTTAAAAGAACATGCTACCCAAAAATTTCTTGTCCATGTCCAGTTCCTCACTGATGATGCAAGAAGTTTGCAAGTTAGATAAGTTCTTAATAATTTGTTTTTGAAACAGAGGATTGTGGATAGGTGTATTGTGTGAGCCAAGGCCTCGTGTGACAACTGCAAAAGAAGGATTTATTCCAAACTCTTATTTGGAAGATCAGTGAGCTGAAAGCAGAGAATCGTACAGAAGTCTGCCATTCCTGTTTTTAAATGTATCCCTTGAGACCTGAAGTCTGCCTGGCTGGTAGAATTGCTGCATTAAAAGCTGCCATGGAGGACAAGAGATGTGCTGGTCCATGACAGCAGCCATCACAAAGATGGATATAGATTTAAAGATAACTGTACATTGTTTCCCTTTTCTATGAGGAAAACAAATGTCTCTTTCAACAGCATCCCCACAAAGCTCAGAAACATGTTTTTCTTTGGCATTTGCATTATACATTTTGACTTTTGTTTTTCTTAGTCTGTAACACCATATCCTCATATAACTAACATTTGTTTTGGCAAAGTTTTGTATTTTATGTCTCCAATCTTACCACTCATCTCCTCATTAGTATTATCCTTATTATAATCTCTGTTTTCTCCATGTTGCCTGGTATTTTTAAATTTCCATATATTTATGCTGAAGTTTGGAACATCATTTCTTTTGATGTGTAAATAGCACATACCAAAGAAAAATTATCCACTATTAAAATACCTTTTGCAATTAATTTGTACCTTGTTAATAAGAAACTCTCCCAGTCACACATGATGGTTCTGATTTAAAACCATAAGATTCCACTGTTGGTATTGACAATTTTTGGACAAAAAAGCAAAGCTCATTGTTTCTGAAATTATGTGGAGGTACAGAAAGT